TAGAAGAAGAGATCCATTGGTGGCAGTTAGATCCATCAACAATTAGCATTGACAATTCATAGATCCATCAACAATTAGCATCATTGACAGATTAGAAGAAGAGATCCATTGACAGTTAGATCCATTGGCAATTAGATTCATTGACAATTTAGCATCAACAGATTCAAAGAAGAGATCCATCAACAGTTAGATTCATTGATGATGATTAGCATTGGCACCAGTTTAAAAGAAGAGATCCATTGACAATTAGATCCACATTGACAGTTTAGAAGAAGAGATCCATTGACAGTTAGTAGCATCAACAGTTTCAAAGACCAATTGACAGCAGATAGCAAAAGACCATTGACAGTTAGTACTAAGATCCATTGACAGGAGTAGATAGCAAAAGACCCATTGACAGTTAAGATCCATCAACAGCAGGGGGATAACAAAAGACCCACTGACAGTTCAGTAGATCCATCAACCACCATCACTAAATCCAGCAAGTACAAACACCAACACAGGTCCTGCCTCACCTTGAAGAACCCCTTCCAGCCTGACAAGCTGAAGTCAGTCACCATATCRGTGACCCATCCTGAGACTGGAGAAGGAGCAACAAGAGTGGCCTCAAAGAAACTCAYCAGAAGCTGCCTGGTTGTCTCTGGAGCTTTTGGACTACAAGAGTTATTCTATGTGCAAGAAAACTTTGAGGATGCAATTTTAGACCTGGAGCTGAAGGGAACAWTGAAWTCAACAAGTTAGTCAAACGGTCCAAGTTCTCACTCCCTCCAATTCCAGATAGTATGAATCAACAGCAGGKTTRCAATCACATCACCAAGATTGAGCTCTCCTTGAGGATGTTCTACTGTTTCAAACTGGATGGAGAGAGMCAGAAGATCTGCTTTCTTACAACAGAACATGGTAACTACTGATGCCTCTGACTACCAATGGGTTTGAAGTTGACACCAGACTATGCCCAAGCATTCATCACCAAGATCTTACCTGACTTGGATGTTGAAGTGTACATTGATGACATTGGCATTTGGACTGCCAGATCCTTTGGTGAGCACATGCAACTGGTGGGCCAACAAGTTCTCCTCTGCCTGACTCAGAATGGTATGAAGTGCAAACCTCTCAAATGCAAATGGGCAATCAAAGAGTCTAACTTCCTTGGCTATCGGATCACCCCCAAAGGTGTCAAGCACTGGCAAAAGAAAGTAGATGGCAACTTGAAGATGGGAACCCCAGGAACCAGGAGCAGGTCCAGTCCTTCCTTGAAGCAGTCAACTASTATAAGTCCATGTGGCTGAGGCCTTCTCATGTCCTTGCCCCTCTGACAGCTCTCACGGGCTCAGGGCCTTACATATACTAGTAGACCCTGGCTTATGACAGAAAATTCAAGGAAATGAAAGCTCTACTATCCCACAACACAATCAACATTTTTCTGACCTGAATGTCCCCTTTGACATCTACACTGGCGCCTCTGATAATCAACTAGGTGCAGCAATTCCCCAGGAACAGCAACAACCTCTCAAGATCAAATGCCCCATTGTGTATTGGTCCAAGAAACTGGATAAAGCCCAACGCAACTAGTACTCCTCTGCAATGGAAATGAAGCAGCTGGCAGTGATTCTCTGTCTCAAGGAATATTGCAACATACTCTTTGGTAGTCAGCTCAACATCTACAATGACTATCCCAAGCCCAAGTCCTTCACTGGCACCTTGCCATTGAAGACTTTGACCTCACTTGKAGATATGTCCCTGGCAAAGACAACATCCTTGCTGACTGTTTTTCTCAAGGGCCCATTGAAAGCAAATGTATGAGCAAAAGAAGGGCACTTTGGTTMACTTCAAGGAATTGACTACACCATTGATACTGAGGATGTGTTTTTTGTGGAACAAGAACTATATGAGTGCCTCCTCAACCTACCACCAGTATCTGAGATGGATAACCCACTGCCAATAGAGCTAGTCCTAT